AACATTAAGAAAACTAAGATCATGGCATCCGGTCCTAGATGGCAAATAGATGGGGAAGAAATGGAGGTAGTGACAGATTTTATTTTCCTGGGCTCCAAGATCACCGCAGACGGGGACTGCAGCCAAGAAATTAAAAGACGCTTTTAAATTAAAGAAATTAAAAGACGGAGGAAAGCTATGGCAAATCTAGACAGCATACTAAAAAGCAGAGACATCACCCTGCCAACAAAAGTGCATATAGTCAAGGCTATGGTTTTCCCAGTTGCAATGTATGGCTGTGAAAGTCGGATCATAAGGAAGGCTGAGCACCAAAGAATGGAGGTTTTTGAATTGTGGTGCTGGAGAAGACTCCTGCGAGTCCCTTGGACTGCAAAGCAATCAAACCAGTCAGTCCTAGAGGAGATCAACCCTGACTGCTCTTTAGAAGGCCAGATACTGAAGATGAAGCTCAAATACTTTGGCCACCTAATGAGAAGGAAGGACTCACTGGAGAAGAACCTAATGCTGGGAACAATTGACGGCAGGAGAAGGGGATGGCAGAGAATGAGGTGGCTAGATAGAGTCACTGAAGCAGCTGCTTCAGTGACTCTAAGTGGACTCCGGGGGATGGTGGAGGACAGCAAGGCCTGGAGGAATGTTGTCCATGGGGTCGCAATGGGTCGGACATGACTTCGTGACTAGCAACAACAACAAGGTCATCACTAGTACCTTAAACTGGGTCCAGACTTCAGTTGGCAGCTAGTGTTCTTGCAACTGGAGCAGTTCTTTTGGAACCTGTACTTAGGGAACAGGTAGGGAGAAACAAGGCACTGCCATCCTACAAGGAATCCTGGTGTTGTCCTTCATGCCTCTTCTCATAAGCCAGTGTAAAATATTTAGGCAGGAAGAGTACCAAGGCAGTCATTGCTTCCATGTCCTTTGCTCTCAATAAATGCCAACAGGCCTTCAAGTTCAGAGGATTACGGGTAGCCACAATGGATGGCGCCATTACAGCACAATCTTATTGCTGCTAGACAGAGCTCTTAGGGCACAATCCTACTGCAGCCACAGGAAAATTCAGAATCTCAACTCAAGCCAAGGTTGGAACTGCTGGCACGTTAGGAACCACACCAAGTACAGGTCCAAGGCCAGAAGAGGATAGAGGATCCACCAGGCTATAATGTATCCTGTTGGCAGATCAACCTGTACAAGTGCTAATTTCTGGGCAAAATCAGCCATCTAAGTTTGCAGCAAGGAGAGAGAAGTAGAGGTAAACTTTGCTTCCATGCTCTTTTATCCTTGATAAGGTGACCATGCATCATGGGCAGCCACATTGTATCATGCTGTTTGGAGTATTGCACAATGTCCATGTGTGATTGTGTCTTTAGCATTATACTCTAAGCTATACCAAGGATCTAGTTCTAAACCAATGCTCTATTTGTTACATCATCCTCTTCGTAAACATGCTTGCTCAAAAAATACTAAATTATTGGAAAGTATATTTAAATCCTTCTTTTTTTATTAGTATGTAACTAACATCAGATCTAACTTGGTACCACAGTAGGAATAGCCATTAATTTGATACAGCTAAGTCTTCAATTCACTTAGGCAACTGTTCAGAATTGGACACATTGTATTCACCCTGCCTGAGTGAAGCTACATGCACCAACACCCCTAGGAATGGTCCATCCCCATCAAAGGATGGTGCACTGCTAAGGGAGGGGTCGTCCACTCCATTTCCCTGGGAGGTGTGCCAGATACTGGGGGATGAACGTGCCATGTAACTCTGTCCCAACTACTCTCTCATAGCTTAGAAGCTGTACTGACTGCAAAGCTCATTATGGAAGTCACCACTGACTGAAGAGGGTACTGCAGGCTTCAAAGACATGGATGTGTCAATTAATTAAAATTCATTAATGCATTTTTTAAAAAACATAACTTCAACTTTCAGGTACTTGGGTTTCATGGTTTTGACACTATGGCATTGACAGACACAGTAGTATAGATTTAGATCACCTTAACCCATCCTGTTGACTTGATTAAGAATGCAGTCTATGCTTATTTAGAGAGTATAAGACTTGGCTAGATCATGCTGGGAGTTTAGGTCTGTCAAACCATGCACAGGATTGTTCCTTTAGTCTGACAGAAAGTACAGCTGGTGCTAGACAGATTCTTCCTTAGAGATTTGAACTTCACAGAAATATTGGAGACTAGGACCATCTCTCTGATGTATTATTGTCCTTATCACTAATTATATCTTTCTACAAAACAGCTTAGGCATTAGCAATGGTCTATTATGATTACCTTTTACTGATAAATACCATCCTATGTTTTCCATCTGCTTGGAGGTTGCCTGAATTCTAAGTCTGCTCTATAGTTTTCTCACAGCCAAGAAGTTTCGTGTTACTTCATTGGATACTTAAGCATTCTCCAGATACACTGGTTTGATTGCAAGCATTTTACATTTCACCTACTTGTGAAAAAAAATACATATAGGAAAGCCAAAATATTCCATGGGATCTAGTCCTTGTTTTGGATTCTTTCCACTCTGCATGAACATGCTCTGCTCTAATAACATTCTTCCACCCTAATTGTCTCTGTTAACTGAAATTGACAAACGTCATGTTAGATCATTTAGGGGAAAAACCTATGCAATAGCTGGCTGCTGCAACTGATGTTATTTCTACATTACTATATTGCATAAACAAAATGAGGTAAAATTGAAAATGCCTAGATTCCGGATATAAGGAAGTATAGATATATGTAAACTGCACAGATCTAAGATATACGTGAGGGATATTTCTGAATGAAGCTTTTCAACTGAAGACAGATACAACAATGTATTTTTTAAAAACTGGATTAAGGCTATTTGCTGGAACAGGCGTTTATCTTCATATACAAAACAAATAGTCACCCTTGGGCACAGTTTCCAAGATGTTCTTAATTGTATGGGACTACATCCAACAGTTACACAAGAGAAAGCTGCTTATGCAACCCATCTTTCCTCTCCTCCCCATGCAAACTACCTGTAAAACCTCTCTCCTCTTGAGGTACCTTTTTCCTAGGTCTACAATTAAAGAACTGACAGAAAAGCTGCCTTGTGTCACATCACTCCTCTGTAAATTCCACACACTTTTCCATACAGAAGTGCTTTTTATATAGGAAAAAACATATCACATGAGCCAAGACACTTTGAAGGAATTCTAGAACCACAAATATTATGAAATAAAGAGCAGTTCAGAAGAACGGTGCTATGAATGTATGCAATTATGCAAAGATGATTAAAGCTGGACTCAAGTTGCCATTTTTCTAAAAAGTGGTGAAATGAGATGAAATGAGAACACACACAAACTAGGGTTTTTCAAAATTCAAACCTGCAGAATGACCCACAAGAAGTGCTACCTATCCTAGTCATTACTAATTTCTCAAAAGTGACCTAATTTTTATTGAAGTATGCAATGTGTCTTTTCAGGAAAAAGTATGCAATTCCAGAAATCGCATAGCATTTCCATAATCCATGTAGACATTGTCATACAATTCCTTACACTCCTGTCGCACCAACCTTTCTTTTCATTCTTCACTGAACACTTTTTCCTCTCCCTTCCAATGTTTTCTCTCTGTCCACTCCACCTATTTCAGAAGAACAACATATTAAATGCTTTTGGCACTTGGACTAAAATGGCTACTAAATCAGAACATTTTTTTTTAAGTACAAGCACTTACTAACTACCAAGTTCTTCACAAAAGACAGCTTACTGTAATTAACTACATACTTTAAAACACTCAAGAACAGCAGTCATAGCTTTGATGAATGGGTAAAAATGGGAAATTGTTACAGTAAATTAAAGGAAAACAGAGGTAATTGCTTAAGCTAACAGACATTTCTACAAACAATATTCCTACAAGCACAGACATGATCCTACTTGCACAATATTAGGAAAAATGCTTTAAAACTATGTTGTACACATCACTGAAATAGCAGCAAAGATCATCAAGTGTGACTCAGTATTGAACCAGCCGCTGTGGGTTGGTTTTCCTTGCCCTGTTGAAAGCAAAGTTTGCCTAGAAACTTTTTAAGCTAAATTACTTTTTTGGACAATTTATTGTAGTTTAAAGAATCATATGATCATACAGTTGGAAGGAGCCTAGAAGGTCATCAGTTGTCCCATCCAGGTTCTAACCAGGCTTGATCCTACTTAGCTTTCAAAATTAGGCAGGATCAAGCACATTAGGGTAAGACAAAAAGTTGATGACTCAGCAGCTTGTAAGCAGTCAGATGCCCTTGGTTTAACTGCTAGACACCCCTTGCCTCTCCCATTCCTCCCTTTTTCGTTCATCAACTTTTAGATGCTAAATTCCACAAAGCAGAAACCTGCTTTTTTGTTTTGCTCTGTAAACCACTATGTACACTAAAGATACATAAAAATATATGGTGTGGGAACACATGCGTCAAGCTAATTTTGTAACATCGTCCAAAAAGCTTTAAGCAACAATACACCATCAAGGGGCTTTGGTGATGTAGAGGAGACACAAAGGACTTGGACTCTCAAAACATGCCTGTGGCCAGTCAGAAAGTAGAGGAGAGAAGTAAACGTCCCTCCCCGTGGCTCCTTGATGTCGTTCCTTTTAGCAAGTTCTCTTCGTTTACAAGGGAATCCTGAATAAAGGAGCCGGTCTTGTTTTGTTATTGCTTTCTATTGTTTATTTGCTTCGAGGAGCATCACTACTAGAGCTCTTCCTCGAAGTAGTTCAACCCCATCCCAACACCCGGCGGGAAAACGGCACGGAGTGTGGATACGAGCCTTCCACAAGCCGCCCCTCCCAGGTGGGACGGTCTCCCACAGCACTGGACTGAACCGGACCACCCACCCCGGTCAGCCCTGAGGAAATTCATCCCCTGGAGGGAAGGAGGGGAAGAGGCAGGTTAGGGAGGCAGAAGAGGTGGGGAGCGGAGGAGGAGAGAGGGGGCAGCAGGAAAGTAGTCTCAGATCTCCTCCTCCTTCGCAGACAGGCACCGGTACCTGGGGGGAGCTGAGAGGGAACTCCTCCTGCCCGGGGGCGGCGGCCACCGCTCGTACCAGCAGGCCCGGGTTTCCACACCACCACCACCCCCTGCAATGGCTTCCGGGAGAATCAGCGCGACTCCATCCGCCCATCACAAGGAGGAGAAAGGACCTGGCTGCGCCGCCCCCCTCACTGAGCGCCCGGCCGCGCTGCCTCCGGGGCGCCCAGAGCCTTTTCTTCGCGCGACTGCCGCCAACATCCACAAAGCCCACCACCTCCGCCACTCTCCATGATGCTCTGGCCCCGCCCCCTCCCCGAGGAAGCCCCTCCACCTACCATTCAGCCAGCAGGGAAACAGTGACGTCACCTCAATTGACTTCCTGGCTTACCAATCGCTTTTGCCAAGCCCGCCAGACCGCCCGCGAGCCCTCAGGCCCCGCCTCCTTTTTTCCTTCCAGGCTCCCCCGCTACTCTCCTTCCACCCCCAGCAACCAGAGGACTCTTTCCTTTGTTTTAGCTCAGTTACGCGGAGACCACCAGAGGGCAGGTCTCCTTCACGTCAACGCCATGACGTGCATGGCACGCACGCGCTAGAGGAAGTAGCCTTTAGGAGGAAAAAAAAGCAGAGGCTTTTCTTGCGGTGCCTGCGCACGTGGGAGGAGTACGGCCAAAGCTGGGTTTTAGTTGCAGTTTGCAGCTGCTCTTTTCTGACACAACGCTCACCTCAGGGCCACAGAAAACGGAAAGCCCCTCCCCGGTGGAACCTCCATGTTGCCAGCAGTATATCTTTGCGCAAGGAAGGTGGTTTCCTTTGGGTCCTCCTTGTAGGTGTGCAAGAGGCGGTTGTGGCTAGGCACTGCCAGAATTGTCAGGAAAAAATGGGCCAGTTGGCAAGGAAGTCACACCCCATACAACAAAGCAATCTCGACGACTGAAGTGCTGCTTTCGGTGTGATAATTAAAGGTTAGAAGCTAGATTTCTTGTTGCTCAGACGCAAAGTCATGCCCGACTCTTCACCACCTCATGGACAACATTCCTCCAGGTTCTCCTATCTTGCACCATCCTCCAGAGTCCACCCAACCCCACACCCACCTCCCTAGTGACCCCATTCAGCCACCTTATCCTCTGCCATCCCCTTCTGCTTTTGCCTTCAATCGTTCCCGGCATCAGAGTCTTTTCCAATGAGTCCTCATTAGGTAGCCAAAGTATTTGAGCTTCAGTTTCAGTAGTTGTTCTTCTAAAAACAGTCAGGGCTGATTTCCTTTAGGATCAACTGATCTGATTTCTTTGCAGTCCAAGGAGAATCTCGGGAGTCTTCTGCAACACCACAATTCAAAAGCCTCAATTCTTCAGTACTCAGCTTTCCTTATGGTCCAACTCTCACAGCCATTCTGGATTTAGGGACCACTAAACCCTGCACTTTGCTTGGTTTATTTCAAAAGCTACAGGCTTCGGTAACATAACAATTCTCAGCAGTCTTCAAGTGGTTGGTCCTTGTGCGTGAATGCCTGTGCACAGGTTTCAGTGGGAGCATGGGGTGGGAGATGAGCGCCTCTAGTTTGAGCGGGGCAAAGCAGACACAAGCATAACCATCACAGATTTAAAAGATCAGGGGGTGACACCCAGTGGGCTAAGCTGCAGCACACCCAGTGGTGGAAAGGGGGAGAAAGAGATGCATTTGGAAGTTCTCTGTGGGGATGCAAGAGTGCAAGGCAAGTCTTCTGTTGCAAGGAGAGAAGAGGGGACAGATCAAAAGCAGTGAAGGGCGGAAAAGGGTGGAGTTGAAAGAAGAAGGATGGGAAAAGAGATGTTGCCAAATTTGGCTTACAAGCTTGTTCCTCAGAGTGGTTATTTTTCTCTTGTGGTTCTAATGGAATGGCAATTTATGTTTTGGTACAGGTTAAAAGACTGAACACCCAGGCATGGAGAGGATCAAATCCATTCAATGAATTTCTGAGCTTAATCTAAACGCAACCTGGTTGTTTTTAACTGGAACTGAACATGTCTCTCACATACACTCTTTTGTGTTATTGATTCAGTCAACTCATTGGACCATCAAAATAGTGTAGTTGCACTGAAAATAGAAAACTGGGAGCGGGAATGCATGTAGTATAACACTGTATTGGGACATTTTGTCTAACCGTTGAAACTTGCAACACAAAGCATACCTCATAATAGCAGCTGGCATGGGAGCAAAGAGCAAGCCAAAAATACCAGACTCAGAGTTGACTTTTGCTGGCAGCTGATGGAAAGTTGTAGTGAGTGGCATGTGTGGGGAAGACCAGAAGATGACCTGACCGCAGGGCAGCCTTGCTGAATTGTGACCATCGTATGAGAAATGTAGGAAAGTTTTCCCATCAACTGAATACCAACCTAATACATTCGATGGGTTTGCTCCTTGTGACTATTAAAAGGCAATAATCCATTCAAAAGTATTCAGGGATTTTTTTCCACATGCTGGAGACTTGCCAGATGGAGGCATATGAGTCTATCCATGCTTGTATGGATATAGACATCTAAGCTGGCCATTACAGGAACAGAATGCAATTGATACATTCAAGGTCTGATCAAACACACCTCACTCTTCTTATGCTCTCATTTCCCCAGCAATCTTTTCTACCTTCAATTCTTGTTCCATTGAGCACAAAACCTGGAACAAAAGCCATTATACTGTAGTCATTGCACACATCTCACAGGCACTGATGCTGGTAACATTTACAGGAGGGGCATAAAAGAACTTATTGTCCAATGTATATTGTCCAACATACATATACATTAGCTTAGAAAAGACTAAGGGTTTTGTGTCTATGGTAAATACTTCTGTCTAGCTGCAGATTCTGAAACTGGCTGTGCATTTTAGTATTTTCATTTTTTAAAATCTGTTTAGTAGCTCAGTTTCACTCCCTCTTAGGGACAAGGTCCGCAGCTTGGGAGTGCTCCTCGACCCGGAGCTTTCACTGGAAGCTCAGGTAACAGCAGTGGCGAGGAGCGCTTTCCTTCAGC